GCGGGGTACACGAGGGGGGCATGGGGAGCACGGGGGACACGGGGAGCACAAGGGGGGCACGAGGGGCTAAAGGGGAGCACAAGGTGTGCAAGAGGCGACACCGGGCGCTCCCGGGGGCCGGTTGTCCCACCGCAAGGCAGGAACTCGGGCACCTCCCGCTCCCCTGCTCGCACAGGATTTGAGCAACATGGGCATTGCCGAGTTCCCTCTGTGTAAAAAAACCTTTGTCTCTTCATCTAGGGTAGTTTCTGCTAACGTAACTTTTAGAAAGGCAGAGCTTTGGAACACAACAGCACCCTCTGCACGGCTCAAGGGGCCTCTATCCAACCCCCCTTCCCTTCCAGCTGCAGCGGGCACAGGGAAGCCGAGCCACCCCTCCCTTTTCTCACCCACAGCGGGACAGAGGGGACACGCATCCAACACACCTGGCGTGTTCCTGGTTACAGGGATGTCTCCAAGTGTGTATAACGTTTTCATAGTGAAATTCTAAGGAAAAAAAAAGAATCTTATTATTCATTCTAAAATGTCAAAGTCCTAAATTAAAACTGTAAATTTATTTGGAAAAAAAAAAAAAACCAGAAAGTGAAAATCTTCGGCCTGAGTTTTTCTTGTACCCATTACACGGATGAGGAAGTGTGACTGTTGTGTATCAGAAAGGTAAGTCATCTTCATAAATATCTCCAAAGGCCATTTAGCTCTATCAGCAAACTAGGGAAATGAGCTATTTAGCATAGTTTAGTGACTGAGTTTTCATTTCAAGGTTGAATAATGTCTTAAATAAGAAAAACAAAGGAGGCTTTGAAATTTTTCCTAACCTTCAGCTCCAGTAACATGAAAACTAACTGCTGAATTCTGGGGAAGTGACCTATTTCTCAACACTTCAAAAAGCTTAAAACTGTGCAAACGACATTGACAAAAACACAACCCATGTTTTCTAAGCTCACTTCACACAATATGGTGAAAATCAAGTAGAATATAAACTGAATTCCTGGGAAAAGGCCTGGAGTTTCTAGAGGAAATGCACTTTTTTTAAATTTTTTCTTGATTTTTTTCTTCTTTTATAACATCTGACCAAACTGGATTATGAAGAAAAAACTGATCCCCATGTAGTCAAAATATATCCATTTGATGGAGAGCTCAGTTCCAATCACAAAATAAGTTAGGAAGTTTTTCCTGATCTTCCTCTTCAGTCAGAATTTTTCACCCACCACTGCCACCAGCAGGAGAAAAAGTATTTTGGCAATAAATGAAAGGATGATACACTCAACATTTTACAACTTCTTTTGTACTTCAGTAAACAGTGGACATCATCACTGTTTCTGAAGCTCCCAGAAGAGTTTGCTAAGAAATGAGGCCCTGCTTGGAAACAGTGCTCTCTGCTGCTTGCAGGTGTCCCTTGTCTTCCACTAGAAAGATGTTGAAAAAGAGAAATCCTTTAGCTTTTTTTTGTTTTGATTTTATGTAACTGCTCATTGTAAACGTGGCTTTTCCTAGAAGTACAATCAGATCAGAGTGCTGTCCATACCCTCTGGCAGTCTAAGTTTCCTATAGTGACAAGAACACGGAGAGAGAAGAAAAAGCCCCACGCTCTTTGCCACCTGCAACTGAAAGAGTGACCATAAAATCAAGGAATGGTTTGGTTTGGAAGGGACCTTAAGGGTCATCTTCTTCCAACCCCTGCCATGGGCAGGGACACCTCCCACTAGCCCAGGTTACTCCAAGCCCCGTCCAACCTGGCCTTGGTCACTTCCAGGGATCCAGGGGTAGCCACAGCTTTTCTTCCCAACCTGGGCCAGGGCCTCCCCACCCTCCCAAGGAACAATTCCTTCCCAATATCCCATCTATCCCTGTCATCTGGCAGTGGGAAGCCATTTCCCCTTGTCCTGTCCCTCCATCCCTCGTCCTAAGTCCCTTTCCACCTCTCCTGGAGCCCCTTTAGGCCCTGGAAGGGGCTCTGAGGTGTCCCTGGAGCCTTCTCTTCTCCAGGTGAACCCCCCCAGCTCTCCCAGCCTGGCTCCAGAGCAGAGGGGCTCCAGCTCTTGGAGCATCTAGGTGCCTCCTCCTGACTCGCTCCAGCAGCTCCATGTCCTTCCTTTGCTAAGGACCTCAGGGCTGGAGGCAGCTCTGCAGGGGGGTCTCACAGGGGCAGAGCAGAGGGGGAGAACCAGCTTCCTCAACCTTCTGCCCCCTTGGCCAGCAATGCACATTTGTGAAAGGCAGAGGTTTCCCCTGGACTGGGATGTCACTCAATGGCAACTGAACAAATAATGCTGCCATTAGATTCTGCAAATAGAACTACCATCAGACCTTCGTGATGCAGTCATCATCACTTTGTATAAGAAGAAAGGTATAAATCAGACTGTTCAAATTACCGTGGTATTACTCTGCTCTCCATTGCTGGCAAAATCCTGGCAAGAATACTTTTGAACAGATTAATACCTGTTATAGCAGAAGGAATTCTACCTGAAAGCCAATGTGGTTTTCGAGCCAACAGGAGCCCCACAGACATGGTGTTTGTTCTCAGACAACTGCAAGAGAAGTGCAGGGAACAGAACAAAGGTCTCTATGTAACCTTTGTTGATCTCACCAAGGTTTTCGATACCGTGAGCAGAAAAGGTCTGTGGCAGATTTTGGAACGTTTAGGTTGTCCCCCCAAATTCCTTAAAACGATCATCTCTCTTCATGAGGATCAGCACGGCCAAGTCAGAAAGGAAGAGCCTCTTCCCCTGTTTTTCCAACAGTAATTTCTTAATACATGACGATTTTCCATTGGATTTGCCATCGAGACTGATACCTTTAATGCAGTTATACCCCTGCATGACTCATGCAGACTCTTGGGCACCTGCACAAAGACCATGTAGCTTCCATAACACTCAGAAAAACAGAGGCCATGGAGCTTGTAAAATGGCCACAGAAGGTTAAACAAAGTCACTTATGAACAATAAGAAGAAGTCAGGAAAATATTTTGGTTCTGTGCATAACTTATTCCTTACTTTTTTCTTATAACTATAAAAATTCAATGTCTGAACACTTACAGAAAGCGCATTTTGTCTGTACATTCAAAAGTTAGTCACCCCGATTTCATTAGGAAGGGTAATGCACACCTTCTGAGGAGCTCAGCAGGATTTCAGAAAAACTGAGGAGAAAAGCAGCTGGCATTACTGATACTTCTAGAGTAGAACAGAAGAAATAAGATTAATGTAACCTTTGAAAACAAACACTCTCACAACCTCTTTTTAGAACACAGAACATCTAGAAACCTCACTTTTTGATTGACTGTTTTGCAAAATTCCTTCTGTATCACTTTTTATATGATACATGTATATATCTCACTGCAGCCAGGGATAAATCATATATATCTCTACAGCTGGTGCTGCTTTTGTTTGTGTAAAACCTTGGTTGTAGACTGAAATGATAAAAAGATGAACGTTTAGTGCTGGTTACAGATAAGAGGGCAACAGTGCTTCAGAAGAGACATAAAGTATTTGAAGTTGATGAGAAAGTTGAACATATGTAAACCCAAAACACAGCAACCCCTCAGCCCCACCTGCAAAGCCTCTTTTTTTTTTTTTGCTTCTCCCCTGCTGTGTACACAGAAAAAAACCACAAGAACAGTTCAACAATTAGCAACAATCCTTTCACATCAATAAACCGTTATCCTTTGAAATAACGTGGATATATTAATTCTTCAAAGCGAGACATTGGACCAAATAATTTCTGCAAAAACAACTGTGATCTGTTACAGACGCCCTTCAAAAGCCATGAGCTATGTATGAAAACAAGTGAACATTAAGAGTTCAAAAGTCCTCATTCTTAGGAACATGTGGAGAAAACACATTTAATGAAGCGTTTGGGTTTTTTAGGTTGGACTCTGCAAACACTCTCAAGGTGTTGAGATGAATTGTTCATCTGTTTAAAGCAGGAATGTTTTCTGACCATCTTCTTGGAGGATGGACAAAATTTGTCTCAAACTCAAAATGAGACATCAAAGATAAAAACATGCACATGGTGCTATGAGACAGGAATTTGCCACATTCTCATTAACAATCCATCTCTTGGTGTGACAATGACTTGAAACAGAAAGATGCAGCTGTGTTTTTTTTTTTCCTGATTTTTGAGTGTAAATTTCTGAAGGCAGAACAAGGAGAGGATCCAGCATAGAAGATACAGCCATTTAGGCAATGAACATGTTTTAAAAATTGGAATTTTATTCATGCTGACATTCTGGATGAGGCAGCCTGCTCTAGCATATGAATGATATAATTCACTAGTGTTAACATCAGTACTTACCAGGATCACAAAAACTTGGAGGACACTGCAGAATCCTCAGTCACAAAACTGCAGTCTGGATAAGCTGCTTTACAAAATGGACAGATTCTGTTAATTCAAAATTTAAGACAGTGAATCACTCATTTTGGCACTTGTTTAGCATGTGCTAGAAAAACAAATTACATTTTTTGTTCCTGTCAATGGCTGGCTTTCATAGCAGCCACAAGAGACCAAAATCCCCTGCTGAGTGTTTGCTGGCTTGTTCTCAATATCCATCACTCTTCATCCCCTCTAAGCCTGACTCTGTTTCAAGCAAAATGAGGTCAACCTGACCTAAGCAGGACATATGAAGCCAAGTATTTTGGGAATCTCCTCCAGAGCACACTCGAGTCAGCAAGCATCCTTCTGCTGGCTGCCATGGGCATTAGATCAGCCCTTGAATAACTTAGTTCCTGCAGAGAAAAATTCATCTGTGATCCTTGGCTCTATAAACAATACCTTCTACAAACAGTCTCGCTCCAGAGAAAACTATTTTACAAGACTTTATTTTCCCCTGCTTCTTTTACCTTGATTACAAATATTGTATCATTTTCTATTCAAGTTGACCAAAACATCATGAACACCATGGAAACACATTCCCCTTCCACAGCTCATTTATAACCAGCCCCAGAACACACCACCTTGGGTCAGTTGACCATTTACCAAGATTCTTATTATCTTTTATTTGCCAAGCATTATTTAGGCCTCTGTAAGAGCTTTCTTCAATTGCTGACAGTCCCTTGCCACCTCCAATTCTATTTTACACATCACAATCCATCAGGAACATGACAAATTCTCTTCTCTTCCTACTGTAGCTTTTTTGCTGCCATTTCATTATCTTTAGGTTGAATTGAAGCAGCACTGACTATTCCCGTGCATTTGGTTTTTTTCTGACCTGCGTAAGGAAAACATACCTTGCTTCAATTTTCTTCCTTCCACAGGACGTATGAATTTAAAATTTCACCTTTATTTATTTCCTCAGGCATAGCATTTACCAAGTAAATTCTTTCTCCTATGTATTTTATAAAAACACAGGAAAAAAAAGGAAATTCCGCTTACACATGTAAATTATACAGATAAAAATTGCAAGCATTTGGTAAATAATATGAGGTATAAAACCATATTTTTACTCAAATACTTTTAAAAGGACAAGAGAAAAGAAGTGGTATCTAGTTTATGGAAATAGATTCAACAGTAGCTGATGCTGTATTAATCTCCTCTCAAATTCACAATTACAAATTAGTTACTTTACAACTTTGTTCAACAACTTTTGAGGGATTCCACAGACTCTGGCATGATTGCATTATGCCATGACTCACAGCTAATGAATGTTTTCCAATTCTCACTTTCACAGAAATAAAATTCATGAATGAAGTGATTAGTTCCTAAAATAAGTTTTCCTTTCTAGTATTATAGAATCATTTTAAAACTGACCATGATCAAACTGTCAATGAGCTAATTAACATGATTACTTTGAATTTATTAACCAGAACTTGGTTATATATATATATAAGTATATAGTAATTATTGTTGGTTATATATATAGTCATTAGTCTTGGTTATATATATACGTTATAGTCAATATTTTCTATTAATTATTTCATTAATTTTCTGAGAAGGGAGGAAAAATGACAGTCACCTCTACCTTCCAGTCAACAACAGAGAAAATTCTTTAACTATTATTTGAAAAGCAATGGAATTATGTGAAATAACATTCTGAAACCTGGACGGTGCTACTTGTCCAGTTTGGGGACATACCATCAAATCAAGACAAAGTTCCACATGAGTATGTCATGCCAGATTCCATCTCTGTTCAAATACTCCAATTTACACACGGTAAAACTGCAAGAAATAAGATTTTTGCTGTTCTGATAACGAAGTAAGGAAAAAAATTGATGGCTTACTATATTTCAATGTTAAGTTCGTGGAAATCTCAGTCAATGATAAGATTAAATCTAAACTCTATGAACGAGGATCGAGAACAAGAACTTTGTTTTCTTTTCACCCCTTCAATTTATTAGTCATTCCTAAGAGCTTTGTCAACAAGTGACCCCATCAAAGGATTTTATGCCTCTTCAGACTGTTCTTACACTTCCAAAACACTACTGTAGCTCTTTTCAGCAGCTCTCTGCCAGCTACTGGAGACTTTTGTACTACTTCTGTTTCTCTCTTCACCAAATCCTGGTTTTTTTTCACCAGCTCAAAGGAAATTACCAATGCTTCAGCGAAATCAAAATATGCAAAACCTGACAGTTAAAAAACCCCAACCAAACCTCTCCCTATGCCCAACACATTTTGCTAACTATTGAATTTGTCTTTACTTCCAATTTCAGCAGCTGAAATTTTCTATGTGTTTGTCAGCCATGTGGAAAACCCCGGCACCATCGCTTCATTTCTGTGCCTAATTAGCTGCACAAAACCAGAAAATCACCTCTCAAGTTGCTCTTTAACAAGCCCTGTTATTATTTTGAATATATTCCCCTAACAAGTACCAGCACTGGTGTTAAAATTTCTATTCAGCACACATTTATCCATTGGTGCACCAGAAAAAACTTTTTTTACAAAAATCTATTAATTAGCACTATATTTCTTTTATTTACAAGAAGCAGCAAATCCACTATTAACTTCTTATCAAATCTCCCACAAATAAGCCTATTTTCTTATTGTGACAAGGCTTAATTCAGCTATGAACACTCCGTTTTGACCTACCTTGCCCTGAAAAAGTGAACCAGAGAACATCTGATTAAGTGATAGCTTGAATGGATTTAACCTTTTTTACCAGTTTGCAATAAAAATGCAATAATAACATCTTTTCCCTGTTATTTCTGTATTAGCATTAGAAATCCTAAGAATATTCTTAAAGTCACCTCTAGAATGCTTCAGTAGAAGCACTAATAACCTTTAAGAAAAATCCTGTGTTCCCCAAAATGCTCTGAAGTAATATTTTACCATCTGCTTTCCTCTACAAGAGCAATGAGGGTGATTATAATTCAATTACAGACGAAGGCAGGATAGGTGCAAGAGACATTCTTTCTTGTCTTTGCTAGAAGAAATCAGATCTGACTGTAAAGGGCTTGTACAAATGTGTAAAAATTGCATCCATATGTTATTTGCTTTTGCTTTCTCCCACAACAACAAACTGAGCAGGCTGAGCTGTGTTGTGCACTGTGCTATGGCAGTCAGAACTTCTCATCCCTTTTCAAGTCTTCAGGTATGTTTCCATTATGCTTCCTGATAAATCCCCAAATAAAATCAGTCTGATACGATGGCAGAATAGTTCAGGATAGGTGCTTTCCAGGATTGTTGTCAATGTGCAACCCGGACCTTTAATTTGTTAAAAAAGACTCCACAAACCTTGGTAGGGCACGGGGTGTAAAACAAGGACTCCTGAAAGCTCAGTGCCAGCCTGTTCAGACCACAGTGTAGTGAACCACCTGTGTGGTTCCAGACTGTCTGTATTATGTATTGTTTCTTTATCCAATATTTACTCCTTCAATCAAAATGATTCTCTGTGAACTCATCAGCATAATTAGAAATACAGGAGACGTGTGTGGTCCTTTCTAAGTCACCTGGAACCTAATCCTCGCCTGTGGGCTGGCTGAACCAGGTGCAGAGCACATAAGGCAACCAACATTTACCTGTCACTAAGAAAAATGCATTACCCAAAGGTACCTGCAGAATTAGGATACTTGGAAGAACAAACTGGTTACTGGGAAAATGTTGGTTACCTTTGAAAACTTCGTGTTTTATTGTTAAATGGGATAATAACCCCTATATCAGTAACACATTTGGAAAACCAAAGAGGTTTGAAAATACTTTTTCCAAAGCAGCAGCTCCAGAGCACAGTTAGTTCAGCAAATCATCAGATTTGAGGATGAAACTTCTATTCCCTGAAGAGAGTAGGGGATGGGAAGCATTTATCTAGTGACCATACACATAGTAATCCACAGATAAAGAACACGATGAGAATGAAATCAGGAGTCTGTTGCCACAGAAGGGTCGTAATGGCATTATGGAGAAAAGCCACAGGCACCTCTGACACATAAGAAGGACATGTGTTCTCTTTAGAACAGGAGTTCACACTGTGTCCTGGGAGCAGCTCTCACACGCCCAAGATGATTCTTAAGGTATTTTCTGACAGCTATTTGACTGAGACTCCATTATGCTTAGGAATCATTTCTCTGGAATGTATGACATTACAAAATGAAGAAGACTGCTGAATACCATGTTCTAGCAAGACAGAAACTGTCCCAATCTTTCCAGCAGAATTTGAACTTTTCCAGCATTTGTGATAAACACATTAACTTTTCTTTATAAACGATGCCTTCACGTGAATGAAGCCCAGGACAAGCTCCCACTCCCAGGCAGAAGCAGCAATGCCAGACTTCCACCAGAAAAGCTCCTTATCTCACCTCTGCTTAGGCAGAGAAGAGAGTTTCACTCTCCAAGGAAAATATGTACAATATCCAACCTAGTTTGGATCAGCAGGGGACGTCTGGAGTCTTCTCTGCAGCAAAACCTTTTGATATGTATAGCCTGCCAGTAAAAACAAACATCTACCTCATGCCAGCTTTACTAACAGCACAGTTTTGCAGACAGAAATAAGACCAAATTGAGGGGAAGCACTGGAGACTTTCAGTGAGAAAAATTATATGATGTTCTTTCTGTAATAGAAACAACTCCCTTAGTATTCTTTTCAACCAGATTAAAATAAAGTAAGAAAAATCCCTGTTTCTAATGACTCTCAGCATAGCTGTGAGATACATTCAATTGTGAGGAAATCTGTGTAAGAACATGCATTTTAAAGCATGCAGGAGACAGTCAACCTTTGACAAAAAACAGTTCACAACTTTAACACAGCCAAACTAGTGCTCTGCCTGTAATAATGATAATCCTTTCTTTGCTGTTTCTTAAGCACCAAAGAAGGTGAATTACAAGGATGACTGACTCTTTGGTTCCTGTGTTTAAATATCTAACTGAAAAATCAGGCTGCTAACCAAGGAAGAGAGCATTAGCTTTAGGTCATTATACACAGTACTGAGTATGACAGGGTATTATACAATGCAAGATTCTTATTATCTTCTTCTTAATTCTTATTATATTTCTACTATACCAGCGGAATTAAGGTGAAAAAAAGACCCTGATCCATTCAAAGAAACCCATTAAGGACTAGACCTTAAGATAACATTACAAAGTAACAGAAATAATTTTTGCAGTAGCTACTTCAAATTTAACTTCAAATGTTATCATCGTACATTTTAAAATCAAAGCTATCAGGTGATTCGTCATTACTGAAATAGTGCATAAATATATATATATTCAAACCTTGCATACCAATTTCAGTTGATCTTTTTAAGTAAATGCTTCTCAAACCTAATATAAAGTAGGAAAAACACTAGACAAAGAGAGACACCTTAACCATACATACCTACAAAGCTTCTCTTCTTTAATACTGGGAAGGAGTAAAGGGGAGCAGCAATATCTATTCTTACTTTTTAGCCTAGTCCCAGTAGTATACGAATATCTGTAAGACACAAACAGTAAGTACCTGGCAAAAGTATTTGAATACCTCTGAATTAAATAAAATCTTTCTCTTTATTGGCTTTAGCAGTGAAAGAGATCTGCCTAATTCAAAGTCGGGCTTTTCGGTTTTCTAATAAGAACTGAAAAGATGATTTATTAAAAAAAAAAAACCAAACCAGCAAAATCAGTGCCAGAAGTATGGGAAGTCCTGAACCAGCACTTCTGCCTGTGCTTCTCCCCCTGGGCTGAGTGCAATCAGCAAATTATCAGCCTCTGTCTCCCTCATCCCTCATCTCACTGCCAGGACAGCCTTCCTGACTTCCTTAGGAGAAAGAAACCAGACAACATAAGGCTCTAAACACAGCCAGAAGAAAGGCAGAAAGGAAGAAATAAAAGAAAACAAGTTCCCCACTTCCCATCTATATCTCATTCTCTCACTTCAGCTATTTTTCTATCACATCCAGAACTGCAGCTTCTCCCTGTAACTTAACAATGAGCCTCCTCCATCCAATTGTGTTTTCCTGCCTTGTAGTCACAGCTGGGACAAGGCAGCACTTTGGTTTCCTCTTAATATACAGAAGAATTCTTTATTAATTTGCATTGAAAATAGAGTGGGTAGCCTTTAGAATAGACCTACCTTGCCATAAGATACTGAACTGGTGTCAAGCACAACCACAAGTCTCCACTGAGTTTACAGCAATGACAACCAAGGCAAAGGCTTTTTTATTCTGGAAGGGGACAACCCTGTGACACCTGAAGTCTCAGGGAGTATTTTAGATCTTGTTCTCTAAGACTTTCTCCTGTGCTGTATGAAGCTTTGCACAGAGAAAGTTAATATTGACATAGAAAAAAAGTACAACAGTCTGTATTTTGAGAATTGACAGGGGAAAACTTTTGTCTTCTCTCATATTTATTGAGTTGCTTCATTTGAGAACAATACAGTTTTGTGCATTCTACATACCAAAACCTACTAAAAATGGTTTCATTTAGTTATCACACTACCACAGCAAAACCCCCCACCCTTTATGACTAAATTCCAGTGAAAATCTCACAAATTAATTTCAAAGTATGCTTGCATAAATCATAGTTTTTTAGATCTATAGAGCCTAGCAGTCCATGAGAACTAGTGATCCCAAGTTGAAACTAGAAAGTATGTACTAAAACTGCCCCTGAAGCTAATGATGTGCAAACCACACGACACTACAAATCATTTTCCGCCGATGAAACAAGAAACCCAAGTTTCAGAAGGACAAGAATCAGAAGGACAGACTCATGAAAGAAGGGTAGGCTTTCAGTTTGGCACCTTGGAAGTAATTGAAGAGTGCCCTAAAGTGCCCTAAAATGTAATATGATATAATAGACACCAATTTAAAAGACTACAAATGTTCTTCTGCAGTAAACTCATGATCACGAGTTATAAAATCCAGTGTTCTGCTGCTTGTACTGCAGCATCAAAGCTTTACTTGGTCTTCAGGTGATGTTAATGAGGAGAATGTATTCTCCCACTATCAAGCTCAATTTGAAAGAAATCCCAGCCTTACTTTAAGCTAAATCAATTTTTAGTTCTTTCACTGTTCCTTCCTTCTATCAAAACGAAGGAAAAAAAAAAAGTCCCATTCACAGGAGCTAGAGGAATAAACCCACAGACCAGTCAGCCTCACCTTGATGGAAATAAGTGAAAATTAATGGAGAAATACTTATAAAATAGTAGGCCATAAAAAAACAAAACAAAAACAAAAAACCGCACACACACACACAAAAACAAAACACAAAAAAACCCCCCAGGGTCTACTGAAAACAAGCCATGCCAGAAAAATCAAATCCCATGATGGGATAATCACTGGGATGGAATCTAGGGAAATGGTTGACCACAGCCAGCGAAAGGCAATGTGACTTCACTGCACCGCCTTGGTCCCTTCGTCTTTTTGGGAATGTATTGCTGGCTTCCAGCAGTCCAGAGGATCTTTGGAAATTCTTAGAGTTGATGTGTAACAGGGTAGACAAAGAACAAATTTTTCTGGTGACCTTGTTCATTTCTAGTACAAAAGTTCAGGCTTCCTTAGAGGTTAACAAAAGATGTGATATTCTAGATGTGACATTTTATATAGAAGTATTTTTAGCTTAAAGAAAAACAGTATTGCTTGAAGCAGATTGTTAAAAAGAAAAGAAAGTCCACCCACAGTTTTGTAAGCTAAACCAGCAGCAATGAAATTAAACAAACTAATGACCCCAATCAGTTATTTCAGAACATGGTTCCCAGGGAAAAAATTCTCCCATTTAACGCTAATGGACTGACCACACGGGCACACTGACATTTTGGCAGGTGACAAATAAAAAGGCTGTTTATATTATGTATTCCATCTAGGTACATTTTACACATACACATATAACCTCAGGTGGTAATCAAGCTGACTCACATTTCCTACTAGTAATGTAAAAGTTTCTCCTATTTAGACAAACTATAGTGTGCAGAAATTAAGGTTTCGAAAAGAGAAGACAGCCTCAGGGTAACACCAGTGCTTTTCCTCAAGGAGAGAGCAATCAGTTCAAGTCAGATCACCTAAAGACACATACATTTTATTCAGTGGAATGACAAAATACACACATAAGGAATTACTTTATTTCTTTATGATAGCAGCACTAGTGTCATCAAAACCCAAGGCCATGCCAAAATTGCAGTCATGGGTGTGCATATACACATGCACCACCCCCCAACCACCTCCACCAGAGACAGAATCTCGAATGAACTGAATTAAACACAAAAGAATGGAGAGAAGTAACCAGTTTGGGGTTACATCTTTGAGAACAACACGAATAAATCAAGGATTTCCACCAAAAGTAGGCAAGTCTACCCAATCCTAAAGAACGAGTAGATCACCAGTATAATGTACCATGCACTTAGTCCCCCAACAAGATTAGGTTTCCATGCTTACTGCTCACTGTGACATTTAAAAACTCTTAAGTACCAAAGCCCAAATGTGGGCACAAAGAGCACAGCTCCCAGTGAAACTGCCCCCAGTTACCCAAGAGGTTCCCAGCCCCCTGGGGATGATCATCTAGACGGGTACATCCTCAGGCAGTACAAGACTGTCATCCTGGAAGGTAGAACTCAAGCAAGAAAGGCACAGAACTTCCTCATGTGGCAGCCTGAGACTGTGAAATGCTCCTGCAGTGTTTATTGAGTACAAACTTCCCTGCTAAATGTGAATGGATCTCTGCAATCCATACAAGGCAGAGACAGGAATGGAAAACAGATTTACTTTGGAACAACAGGAGTCACACTGAGCCACCTTTCAGTCTGCCTGAGCCACCCACCCATCTCTCACCAGGAATATCTCCGGATGAAAGGAAAAACATGTTCTTCCTTGTTCCCAGGCAATGTTATTACACTACACAGTGGCTCAGGGGAAGCTACAGCTTCTCTACACATCTCACATGCATGGTGGAAAGCCCTGGAAAACTATTAAGCACTGGAGGAAGAACAGAGACTGACAGAAACGGATTTTATTTTTTTTTTAATCAAGTTAACAACCACCTCCTCCACTGGAAAAGTAATGTTCCTTCAAAACCTCATCTGAACAGTTAGTATTCAGGTTGTCTTTGTGCAGTCCACCCTGCCTAAAATCCTCTTGGCTTGGGGAGTCTATTTCCAGAGTAAAGAAGCATTTTCTCCTCACAAGTGAATTTCTTTTCTGCAATACAGCTTTTCAGTCTACACCTTCCAGAACTTCATGGACTAAGTAATGGGACAGCCTTAAGATTTCAAAAAAGAAAAAGTAAACTTGCATATTTAGTTGTTTGCTACTTAGATAGTGTTGTAAGTTCCTCAGAGGGGCAGTGTGTAGCTGTGGAGGGTGGACTACTGCATTCAAGAAGAATCTCTGCTCCTAATTCAAAATATTTCAGGACAACCTTTTCCCACGAGTAGGCACAGTTCCCAGGGAGCCACAGGAGAAAGTCCTGTGGGGTTTCCATAGGTTCAGCAGTCCTTTCCAGACATACAGCAGCTTGTTCACCTGGCAGCAGTGGAGGGAAGGAGTTGTACTGTGCTCCATGTCTCCAGTTGCCCTTCTCAGGCTGTTGCAGGTGCCCAATTTTTATAATACAGACATTTATAAGCTGCTTTTGTTGTTGCTTTTTCAACATGGAGAAAAAGGAAGGTTGCTATTGAGGGTGCCTGACATGCAGAAAATTTTCTTTTCAATACCTCAATTAGAATCTATTTTAAAATTTCTATGCATAACACATCAGACTGACTGTTACAGAAAAGAAAGTCACTTCTATTTTAATATATTCCCCGAATAAGGTATAAATAATGAGACAAATACAAAAGTAATGAGAGAGGCAAGCAATGGTGCTACCTTTGAGATGTCTGGAGGCCACAGATAACTTCCTTGGGCGCTTCACCATGGGTGGAATATCCTTAGGCAAATGCTCTGATTACTCCCAGAGAAGGACAGATTCAGCTCTCTGATGAGAATAAGTGGACATCCTGCCTGGAAAGCTGGGAAAGTGTGTGCAGCTTTATCCCTTTACTCCTGATTTTATAACCTGTCACAATGAGGAATCTTCTATAACTTCGTTAAAACTTTTACCTCCCAGAAAATGCAGATCAAGAAATGCCTTATGCTTAGCCATGGGGGAAACTGTAATGACATAAACGCAATGTAAAATGTTTAAAACATTATTAGTAGACAGTCTTTATTGGAAAACTCATGAAAATACAGAAAGCTGTCAGTTCTTGGACCCGAATTACTATAGAAAAAAATTCTGCCTGTTTTTCAAAGGTATTTTAGAGAAAGCTAATAAAACAGTAAAGTCTCTAACTCTTTTCTGAAGGAAAAAAATCTGAAAAAAAAAAGTTAAAAATGAGTATTAAAGAAAGATCATCACTGTCATGCAATTGTTAGGAAAAGGATTTTGGTGAAGTACATTTCATGCACCGAGGTTTTTTGTGAAATATATTCTTCCATATACTAGGAAAACAGCTCACTTGACTTGATAGTACTAGATCCCCCTTGTCCCAAATATCATGAAGTGGTGCCCAATACTAGGATTATGAATACAAGTAAAGGACTTTTTTTTCATTCACATGCAGACTTTTATAATAATGGAAATTCTCTTTCATTGCTGAAATATCAAGAAGATATTAAACACAGTGCAGAGGGGGTTTTGTGCCTAATTAGGGATAACCTAATTAGGTTCTTTTTCTGAGTTCTGTGAAGTGGTTGTAGAATCACACATAACAGAAGCATGAGGCAATGGAACAATAAACAAGAAAACAAAGAAAACAGTACATCAGAAGGCCCAAAAATCTTTACCGCAGTGACTATGGTAGCGCTGTAATAGAAATTTGGTGGATGTGGTCTTACAACTGGAATGCCAAAGTTAGTGGCTAATTCAGAAATCTACCACCAAAGAAACAGTGACTTGAAATAGAAATAATCTTGCAGACAGAGAGGGTCAAAGGTAGTAACACTTGCTGAAAATCAAAGTAAAAACATAGGCAGATAGGAGAGGTCAGCGGGGCAGGTCATCAGCCCAGCAAAGCACACAGTTCGAAGGGGTGTTTAGTTTCAGAACTGAGAAATGAAGTGACTGGCAACCAAAAGCTTTGGAATAAAAATTAATCTCCAGGCAGCCTCCTGCCCATGTACCAGTGACACCAGTCTGTCAGGGCTGGCCGAGGATGGCAGGGAATGGCTGGTGCTGGGTTTTAATGGGGAGCGGTGAAATCTTATGATTTTTGCCAGGAATGAGCAAAAAAGTGACACATGAAGATGCTGAAGGAAGGTGGACAACACAGGAATGTCTGCCTGGAAACCTTCTCTTGCAGGGCAGCAACTGCTGTAAGGATTGCATGGGGGTACAGCATGCATGGGAAGCCTGTTTTCATAAACTGAAATGTTCTCTGGAACCCAAACATCTGCATATCTGACACAGCAGCTGTAAGACAGCAGTTCTAGACCTCGATCCCTTTAAAACAGAGCTCTTGAGTTTCAAAGGGACCAACCACTCCCCTCACTCCTACCAATCTGCTGAGCAGTGACACTAAATGTTATTAACCCTTTCTTGGGCAGTTCAAAAATAGGAACCCTACAGAAAGGCTGAGGCCAGAAAGATAACATTGACCTGACACAGCACAGGCAAGAGTGAGGTTTTGCTGGAAACAAAGCGATGGCAGCCCTATGAGGCAGCCAGGATCAAGCAAGCTCAGAGTCAGAAGACCATGGTAAGAAGACCAGCACATATCTGGCCCCACTGCTTTCACTGCTTTAAAGGCAAGGCTGGGCTCCAAGTCGAGAAGTATTCCAAGTTGGTTGATAAAAACAGAGGATTGAACAGCTGGAAGTCAAAATTTGGCAAGTTAACCACAAGTTAATATACAATTAAGTAGCATAAGGAAACATAAAAAATAGTGAGATGGGATGTGGCTGCCAAAGTAGAGGCACCAAGCACTGTTTTTGATGCCCTGGAGCATTCCTCACTCGACAGCCATCTGTCACTCAGGAAGAAACCATTTTCCCACAGGTCCTGACTCACACCTGCAAGCTGAACACTGACATCTCATACTCCCGGGCATCTCACGCCCTAGAAGTCTGCCTAGAGGAAAGCCCAACTTCTAGGAGAAAACATCTGTTTATGATCCATGAGGACTGATCTTTCAAACTGACAACCGATAGAGCTATAAACCCTTTTGTCCTCTCCTTTCTCATGCTTTCTTGGAGAAGGCAGAAATTTTTGTGTTATTGTCGACCCATTGTGAGCACTTTATGGATTGAGCATATCACTAAAGTGAGCCAGGAAGACTTTGCTTTTCCATACTATGTAAAATCTGTTTTTTTCTGCCCTTCTCTGTGGCATTTTAGACCAGCAGCGAAAGAACTGCATGATATGGGTCACAGCCCCCGACACCACAAAACCTCTCATGTTCAGAGTCACTGATCTGGGGGTAGGAAGGAATTCTACATTTGGCGAAAAACACAGGATCTTTTGCTTTCTCTTTGTACAAGAAGTAATTTACCTGCTCAAACAATCTGGTATATCTTACAGTATCAATTCCTTGCCAGTGTAAGGACCCTCAGGCACTGGTAGCACTCCTCTTCTTTGCTCATGGCAGCTTCTGGCCTGAGGAATGATATTAAAAATATAGATTCTAGAACACAATTCTTCAGGATTCCAGAAGTTCCCACTTCTCTGGCTTCCATAAATGAATGCCTACCTTCATGGAGAGCAAAGAAAAAAAACAAAAGGTTTTGGGCTGTAATGCCATTATGCAAATATAATGTCCACTTACTCAATAATTAAATTGCACACAGACTTTAACATTAACAGAATCTTGCCATTATGACCAGAAATTATCTGGCAAAAGTGCATCTGGAATATTTCAAAACATCTAAAGAAGTGGCCATTTGAAGCTACTGCATACGATGCATCAAACTTACTTGGAAAAGACAAAATGCCCCCTATCTGAAGGCAATTTTTCTGTGATACACAGACTGAACACAACCCTGAGAAACCTGTTTCCATGCTTAAGTTCTTAAACTTTAATTTCTTCACTACCTTTATTTTGAGAAATTTTACTTTGCTCTGCATTTGCAATAGAAGACAATATATTATATATATTACAATAGAGTGATCAGTGACAGAATCCCAGGAAATGGCCTGAAGTTCTTCAGGGCAGGTTTAGGTTGGATCTCAAGGAAAGGTTCTTCTCCTAGACAGGGTTGGGCACTGACCAGGCTCCCCAGGGCAGTGGGCACAGCACCAAAGCTACCAGAGCTCCAGGAGGGTTTGGACAATGCTCTGAGGGACAGGGTGTGACTCTTGGGGATGGGCCTGGGCAGGACCAGGAGTTGGACTCAATGATCCTTGTGGGTCCCTTCCAACTCAGCATATTCTATGATTCTCTGACAGTAGATTTTCACGTATTTTCATTAGTAGTTAGATTTTAGAGCAGTGTTACATTAATAGAAATTAAACCCAAGGATGGAAAAGAGTGACTATTAACTATTCCAGCTTCTATATCTTCAGCTGAAAGCTCTCTGGCATGTGTTGGCATGATCTGATCCTAACCCAGTTACTTAATATGTGAATTTTTCTGAAGAAAAAAACAGTTAAAGTAAGTATGCATATTTACTTACGAATCAGGAGTAGTATATATTCCTGATTTACTGCTCTTTGCAATTTAAGGTACTTGTAATGTCCTAAAAAGTTTAAAACAAAATTCTGTGCACTGAATGACATGCATATATTGCAATAGAATAGTTTCTAAGCTACAAACAAAACCGACTAAAACAGTATTAATGCTTCTCCTGTCAACACTTCTATTCTTCAAAAGAATGAATACAAAGGCATTTCCAGTCAACCAACCTGGTGTCCCAGAATCACCATCCCTCACAGATGATTAGAAGATCATCACATTGAGAGAAAATACCCTTTCACCGCCCACAGTCACAGAATTATGGACATTCCACTACCCCAGCAACATATTAATCACAGGTTCCAGCCTAAATTTCTTGGCAGTCTACGAGATGAAAGACAAGCACAGTTAATGATGTTGAACATGTTGTGGGCTTAGTTACCAGCATGAATTTCCATTAGAAATAGTGGCAACAGGGAAAATTAAAAGGAAAGGAATAGCTGGAGAAGAAAAGCAAGGAAGGGCAATGCATCTGATCTCCACACTCAGACATAACAGGGACTCACAGGCATGAAGGAGTCATGTGGGATATTTAGAGGGAGGGCACAGAAATGGGTGGACAGTTCTATTAGACTGATTTTTCCCTTATACACAAGGATTGACATGGAAAAAAGTAAAAAGATATTTATGGGTGAAGTGGCTGAGGAATCCTGTAAACAAGGGGGAAACTAAAGCGAAAAGTTGGCTTTACAAAGAGAACTTTGTGTAAAGAGAAATTGCTCTTAAAGCTTCAAGTGTATATCTCGTGAATGGGAGAAGACAAAAGCCAGGTTGGACAGGGCTTGGAGCAACCTGGTCTGGTGGAAGGTGTCCCTGCCCATGGCAAGGGGTGGAATTTAGGTGTTCTTTAAAGGTCCCTCCTGACCCCAACCACCCTGTGATTCTGTGCAGGGGTTGGAGTCAAGATGATGATGTTCCTATGGCAAGAAAGAGAAGGTATTAAAGAGTCCTACAGAAGTTGAAGTACAAAAGGTTGAGAACACAGCTGAGTTTTGATGAAAGAAAAAGGTACAGTTCCAGCAAAACAGCAGTGCCTCATTCTTCCACGCTCACAAGAGGGGAAAGCTGAAAAAATAATGACCATGCTGGAGGCAAGAGTGGCTGGAAAAATAGGGGAGTGCCGCCTACAATAACAGGTACTAGGAGATGAAAGCAGCAGCATTTCAGGAAGATTTTGCCTGGATGAATGATGTATTTTTTAGTTACTAATAATTAATTAGATTAGGATCATCTTCCTAGCTCCAGCACATTAACTCCAGAGCAACTGAGACATCCTCCTCAGTTCCCTTGCCTCTACCTTACTGTTCTCTCTCACACATTTCTGTTGCCCTCTCTTGTGCCTCCCTTCCGTTCAGGACTTCTGCACAACCCAAACAGAACAGCACTCTCACAACCACAGGGAAAGAAGGCGGCACAGCAGCTTCAGAAACCATTACATTTGTCTGAATTCTAGAAAACTGCAAGTTGTCAAGTTTGCCTTCATTACAGGGATTTTATCCCATCATCCTCCTGAGTACAGCAGAAATCCCGTGAAGAGTTCCCTAGATGAGCCCTGTACTGAAACACTCTGTTCTGCTGTAGGAGTGGGACTAGAGAGATTTACAACAGTCATAATACACCTTTAAAAGGCCATTTTACATGTGAACTGTGACAGTTCAGAGACTTGTTATGCCTATGGTGTCGAGTCAGGAAAATAAATTGATCTAGTTTGTGGATGAAACAGTATGTGGCAAGTACAAAAACATAAAGAACCACCAAAGGAAAAGACGCTCTTAAATTGGATAAATACAGGATCGGGTGTGGGAGCTGACGGCTGAAAGAAATGCTGAGACATCCTGGACAAACTGAGCAACCCATATCTGGAGACAGATGTGTTTGCTTAACAAAATATCAATGCTGTAAAATGCCTTGAAAATGTATTGATTGCAGAAAACATCAAGCAGTAATACCCAAATCCTCTGTTTTCCTTCGGATTTCATAATGACAGATAAACTTTCTCAGGGCTTTAGCAAGCAAAAATAGATAAACCACTTTCTTGCGCAAACCACATGAATTCATCTCTGCACTCACACTTTGTCTGAAAGAATGCCAACACTGTAAAATAGAGCAAAATATCAAGAGAGTTAATTTTTTTTAAGAGTACATTTATCCTGTGGACAATAAATATCAAGACTGAGCAGGATATGGAGGTTCCTTCACAGACTTAGAAAATTGTTTTAGGTAGCTTCATGGCTGCCAGGTCATGGCTGAAGACATGCTGTGTTGCAGGACAGATGAAAAAACCCACAGTGCTCACTCACTGCTCTGCCCATCACCTTAGCAGGATAAAAGACAACTGAAAGGCTGGGAAATCAACACAATGTTTGGCTTCAAAATGCAATAGATGATGTAGACATGTGGTCCATACTAGAGGATTATCTTCACTCCTTTTAAAAGGACGACTAATACTTATTTCTTTCTTGTATATTTAGTTATAAAGCAAAGGGAAAGGATGGGAAAACTGGTTGCTCTTTGACTGGAGCTAGTCCCGTGGTTTAACCCCAGCCAGCAGCCAAGCCCCTCACAGCCGCTCACTCGCTCCCCCACCAGTAGGGTCAGGGAGAGAATCAGAAGAGTAAAAGCCAGAAAACTCCTGGGTTGAGATAAAGACAGTTTAATAGATGAAACAAAAGCTGTGCACACAAGCACAGCAAAACAAGGAATTAATTCATTGCTTCCCATGGCTGGGCAGGTGTTCAGTCATCTCCAGGAGAGCAAGTCCCATCCCACACAACAGTTATTTGGGAAGACAAATACCATCACTCCAAACATCCCTCCCTTTCCTCCTTCTTCTCCTCAGTCTATATAATGAGCATGATGCCATATGGTCTGCAATATCCAGTTTGGATCTCCTGTCCTGGTTGTGTCCCCTACCAGCTTCCCAAGCACACCCAGCCCCCTCCCCAGCGTGGCAGGAAAGGCCTCAGCAGTAACAAAACCATCTCTGCATTATCAACCCTGTGTTCAGCACAAATCCAAAACACAGCCCCACACCAGCCACTGGGAAGGAAATTAACTGTACCCCAGCCCAAACCAGGGGAGCTATTGAGCTGCAAAACAACCAGTTTCTTCTGGATTTGCTCTCCCTCCCATGTGAACACTGAATGTAACACAGGGTTGCCTTCAGCTGAGATAGACCTCTACCTCCTGCAAACCAGGTAACATCCAGTTATTAACACTCCTTCATCTTTCAATTTGATCCTACTTCTGTGATCACAGAAACGAGTTGCAAAGCTCCCAGAAATACAAGCCATGAATTTCCAATGTGTGGATAAGAGAAGAAGATAAGAACTCTTTGACTCTTCTGATATCTAAGGCATAATAGCATCATTTTCCCATTCTGGCTGGAACTACAATGAAAAATAACCCTTCAAAGGTTCATAAGGAGTGTGGAAGATGTGTCAGCTCTGTGGTCAGAGGAGTCTCTGCTGACCACTAAATTTCAAAACTAGCTAACATCCTACAGAAGCCTATTTGAACAAATATAACAACATGATAAGAATTAATTAGAAATCCCATTTGGTAATTAGCGGAATTCCCAGGGCTCACCTCGATAGCAAGGGCCACTCCACAAGGGCTCTCTGTCCCAAGGTGGATGGGACACCTTCATGATGTTAGGTATCAGGTAGTGAAATTCTCAATAAAGCAACAACTTCTATAACTGAAGAATATTATTTTGCATGTTAGCCAATTACATAAACACTTAAATCTCAACCCCTTCTAGAAACTCTTACAAACCTAATTAATATTTATCTTTAGAATATTTAAGGAAGTATTTCATGTGACCTTGTGTCTTCTACTTGCCTGAAGAGTTGCCAACTGGAGCAAATTCCTGGGCTAAAGGATGTTTGTCTCACTGTCATTCTGGTAAATTAATCCTCAAAGC